CCCCAAAACCCCAAAACCCCAAAACCCCAATTCCTCTATTAAAACTTGATAGGTTTATATAATTTATCCTAATTCTACTTCTACTCCTCCTTTTCAACCGATTCGAAATGTCAGAACCCCCTTGCGCCCAGTCCCCTGATCCTAAGCCTAGCACTCTATCATCCCTTACGAAGTATCTCACTCATCAGAAGAACAGACATAGTTGTGCCTTTGTACATGGTAAGTTCTGGAATGATGGTTTATTCATAAAAATAGAAACCTTGATCTCTGGATGTATGACATTTCTAGATTTAGCGGCAGCCCACAAGAAAGATAATAACATTCATTTCTATGTCCAACGAGGAGGTATAGTAGAACCTTCATTTGCGAGGATAGTTTCATATTTTGGAAGATTTGGTGTAACTAACTAAAATCTAGCTCGGAACCAAAACCGCATCCCCCTCACAAAGACTCAGAATGTCACTACTTCTTCCAAGAATGCTGCTTTAAAGCCTTGTTCTACTGCTAAAATTTCAAAAAATTTGACTCAGAAATAAGGCGAAACCCAGGAAGTCCAAAACAGGCCTGTACAGGCCGGCCAGAACCTCTATGTATAGACCGAAGGATACTGTAAGCTTTTGGGTGTGGCAAGGAAGGGTGTAGCATGCCTGAATGGCTCTGAGGGGGTTAAGTTGACCTCGTAAACCAAGATGCTCAGTTTTTACAACTGCGCTTAAGAGATTTTAGGGGTTGAGTTTGGGCTAAACGGAAATTTTGAACTCTTCTGTTGGTATTTTGGGTATTTAGAGCTGGTTGGAGGATTTTGGAACTGGGTGTTGGCTTAAGTTATGTTGCATTCGCTCCTGAGACTCATACATCTCAGTTGAATTACAATCTCAGTTTCAAAGTTTATAAATGATTATGCTTTAATATTTCTAATTAGTTGCCTTTCAGCATCAGTTTGTCTGATTTTTAAAACATTGATAAATATCTTCGGGAAGACAAGTCTTAAATATAGAAGAAACATCCTCCAATTACAGAATATCTACACAATAACACTGCAAGAGAGGACACCACAAAACAGCAGATTGTAAGCAGCTTATAGAGTTATCAACCAAAAATTCAAATTTACTGCTTGAAAGGAAAACTTTGAAGCCAATTCAAAATTGCCTATCAAAATTCGAGGGTTGACTGGGCAGTTCTAGATGTTTATTAAAGCCCAAAAATAGCTTAAAAGCATCTTTTCTTCTTTAGTTTATATCTACTATATGCCTCCTAGCTCACATTTGAATTTAGAAATACTTGCAGTCTTACAAAAGCATGCTGCCAGCATCAAATTGATACCAAAATAGCAAGAGTGCGAAGAAGAGTTCTCACGGGCTAAAAGATAAATGAAATGGGCAAAATAATTCTAGCGGCAATGACTCAGGTAAAGCTAATAGCCTCAATTTTAGCCACACTTCCTACAAGAAGACAACAAATTGTAGCCAAGCATCTAAAAATGAAAGGAGAGCAAGAAAAGAGTATGCGTCTTTGCCATTAATTAGGATGAACACTTTTTATTTATCATACTGGCCTTAAACTTTATTCCCAAAATTTGCTTTTAGAAAGGACTTTTCAGCAATAACTCTGAAGCTCCTATAAATTGCAGCCATTTGGGCCATGCAAGCTCTAAAGCTAGTTCTTTAAACAAATTAGGGGTGATAGCTTATATTTAGCTTTTAACGTTTATATAGGAATAAAAATAAATCAGGATACTCTCAATGAGATAGTACAACAGCTACCTAGCAGTTGTAGTTCATCTTTTTGTAAAGGTACTTCAGAAATTGATCGTTCCTTAATATCTATATAGAAAGATCTATGTTTGAAGCCAGCTTTGACTCCCTTTCAAAAGAAAATATAGAGCGTGAGGCTAATTTTGAGACTTCAGAGATTCTAAACTCTGCTAGGAAAAATCCATCAAAGAAAAGAATAGAGGTAAGGCTTGATTAGAAATAAATCATCTTGCTTTATACTTCCTGATAATCTTTTGTGTTAGGCTAAAAATTTTGAGCAGTTAGTATACTCTAGAGAAACAGCAGAGAGCTCCCTTGATAAGGATAAGGTAAAATGCATTTTAATCATGTACCAATCCTATCAGATGATGAAGTCAAAGAATCCCTTTGATTTCAAACACCTTCTAGCTTTATCGACCGCTATGGAGAAGCTTAAGAAGGGATAACTCCTCTGGAATTTGCATTAAAAGTATTCATTTTTCAATATAATAAACAACAGGAGGGGTTTTGGGGTTTTGGGGTTTTGGGGG